ATGTAAGTGTTCTGAGCATTCTGGTTAACCACCCCCTACTCCTTTTTGGCCCAACAGGCTAAAATGATTGAGTCTGTATTTGGTGATTAATCTTATAGGGTGTCCTTTCTGTGTGTGTGGGGGGGGGGGAGGATGAATATAGTGGGAAGGTGGGTGGTGATTATTTTTTGCACATCAGTTCTCTTTATCTGGGAGGTACTTGGAAAGGGGAACACTGAGGTGAATGTGTGAGATGTCCAGGACAGGCAAACCCATAGAGACAGGGTAGGTGAGTGGTTACCAGGGGTCCTGGGTTCTTTTTGGAGTGATGGAATTCTTCTGGAATTAGGTCGTGCGTAGTTGCACAAGTCTGAATACTAAAAACCACTGAATTATTTATTTTAAAAGGGTGTATTTTATGGTGTGTGGATTATATCTCAATGAAGTTATTATCTAAAGAAGAGTGGAGAGATGCTGAATCTTTACTGACCTCAGAACACCCCTGAAACCATCTTTTCAAAGAAGGAACACGCCTGAGATTTGTGTGTGGCTGTCTTTCTCCCTGAAGACAGAGCCTGGGGACAGTTGTACCCCAGGACCCGAGGCAACTTCATCTGTTACAGACCACCCCGAGAATCCCAAAGCTGGCATCTCAGGATTGGGTCATCCTCCAAATAATCCTAAATCTGCTAAAATCTAGCCCAACATTGATACATTGTTTCTGAAACAAACAAAAAAATCAGGTTTGAGACCCTGATTTGATAAATTTTAGGATAGCTCCAACTCTCTGAAAAACATGACAAACTGGTGAGGAATTGTGGCTGTTTTCCTTTGAAAGAGGGAAGTCTTCATTCAAATGGATTACGATTTTCCCTCACTACGTCCTCTCACTTACCGAGGGCCCAGGGTGTCGGAGCCTGCAGGCGGAGGCCTCGAGACTGGGAGGCAGAGAGGACCCTCCACACCCCGGTCGGCCCTTGCCTCCCCCAAGTGGGATAAATGGGGGTTGAACTTGGGCCAGGAGAGCAGATTCCCCTCCAGAAGGCAGGCTATTGCTGGAAGCTGCCTCCGCCCAGAGTTGCAAATTGGGAAGATATAGCCGAGAAGAGGAAACCTTGAGTGGAGGGCTTCTTTTGTGAATAAGGACATTCAAGTGTATCTTGACAATTTTTTGCAAGGCCCAGTTAAAGCAGTCGTCCAAATGTTTTTAGAACAAACATTCCCATACCGCATGGGCATAGATCAGCAGAGGAGCCGGGGATTGAAACACGTCTTCCTCTCTGCCTCTCCAAGGGGAGGGGGGAGCAAACCCGAGCATGCCACTTATTGGGCCCGAAGGCAAAGGGACACAGGCTAGTCGGGAAACTTTCCTGCCACTCTGTGTTTGATTGGAGAACCAGTGGTGACCGAGCACACTCCACGTGCCAGGTGCTTTTCTGAGCACTTTACATATCTTACTTCTTCCATTCTTCACAATATCCTGTGCCATTGGTACAATTATCATCATTATCTTAAAGATAAGGAGACTGAGGCACAGAGAGGTTATTGTGCCCAGGGTCACCAGCAAGAAGCATCAACCTGGGACTGGACCCCAGACGGTGCACACTGCTCCTTGCTACATGGTTCATGCCATGCACAGGTGTCATCGGAAACTTCTCTGAACAGGCTCAGGTGACCTCATACATCAGTGCTCTTACCACTCACTTGGAAGAGGCAGCTTCTAGAATTATTCCTCTTGATATGGCTATGAGAGCTCCACACCAAATACTAATTTCAGCCTCCAAACACTGTCCATAACAAAAAGTCAGGACAGTCACACTCCAAGGTGGGAACCCAAATTTCCCTAGTAACAGGCCCCATCAGGCCCTTGATCGGGAGGGGCAAACTCCCTCCTCATCCCTTGCCCAGAAATTAAAACCGGTTTCTGTATAATATGGAGAGATGGAAATGTCCAGATTATAATGGGAACTTGTTTCTTCAGAGCCCCAGGGAGTGGAAACTACACTTCTAGTGTGAGCTTGGAGGATAATTTTATTGCAAGAGGTTCCTAAATTTCTGAATTGTGCTGGAATGTGGTGTCACTGAAAACGAGATTCTATAAAAGGGTATGATGGCAGAGGCATGAGACTGCCTGACTGTAGGGTAAACAGAGGCAGTCTGGCTCCCTCACCCAGATGTCTGGGTAGCTAGGGGAAGCAGTTTCCCATAACCTTGAGGATGGGCCTGATAAGCAGTGTTCTCATAACCTTGAGCCTGGGTCTGATAAACTGTTCCCATGGCCTTGAGTGGGCTCGCATGCGTAGTAGGAACCTCTTTTGCATAATATCTGTTGGCATCATGCTGGCTTGGTTTGAATGTAGTATTTAAAGGGGTAGGGGCTTCCTGCTGGGTGCCATGCAAGGGGACAGGTGACATGCAGGGACATGCAGGGGGACACGCAGCTTGCAGCGTGTGTGGACTGCCCACCCTCAGACCTCCCAATGGCTCCATGAATATTCTTCCTTCTGCCCAAATCTCATGAACCTGTCCATCCTCGAATGGTCACAACACACTGATGCAGGGACTTTCTGAATAATTCTATTGAGCTTGGCTCTTGGCTTAACAACAGATGTTCAGTTAAAAGCCTGTTGACCTAATTGTCCTAACAAGACTTAACTTTATGGAGTTATGTGGCAAAACTGCTCACTTTTCCTTTAATCCTCATCAGAGAATTTTTAAAAATGATTTGAGAGACAGAGAAAGAGAGAGAAACATTGATCAGTTGCCTCTCAAATGCACCCTGACTGGGGACTGAAACCACATCCTTCGGTGTCTAGGACGATGCTCCAACTAACTCAGCCACCTGTCCAGGGTAAAACTACTCATTTTTTTTTTTTTTTGCAAGAGACCTGCTAGTGTTGAATGGGAGGTGTTCAGCAACGGCTGGGCATCACCTGCTGCAAGCCAAATCAGTGATGGCCCCAAAGCAGCTTTGCTCACCTGAGGGGGCCCACCCTGCCTCAGGGGGTCATGCCAGTTAAAAGCTAGAAAAAAAATTCAATTCAATCACCACAGGTCATTTCCTGTGGAGGAAGAACTCCATCAACATATGCCACTTCAAAACACAAGAAAGGAATAAAGGAACATGTGGATCCTAGTAGAAATACTGTATTCATTTTTGAAGACTGCTATGTTTAAGGCAAATGTCATGCATACAAAACAGTCAGAGATGAACAGCACTTGAAAAGAACAGTATGTACGGTGTGTGATGAGAGAATAGTGAGGGAGACATCTCCAGATATGAGAAAAGTGGATATTCCCCCACCGGATCACTCCTGGTCTGATTCCTCCTATGGACTGAGAAACAGAAAAACAGCACCTTCTCCCTCCCAGGGGGAGGGGCAGTGACCGCCATCAGGATTTCACGTGGAAGAATGCTTCTTCAGGCCGCGGCACTCTCCACGCTGCGTTTCCAGGTCCAGCAGAGACCAGGTGCCACCACGGGGTCTTACTGCTTTGCTCTAATTTCTGCGTTTTGTGAAACTCATCATCAGAACCAGGAAAATCTGATGCCAATGTTACACAACTTGCAGTTCATTCACCTCTATCCAAACTCAAAGTTGGATTGGAGCTAAAACAATATACACACACATACATATGTACATGTGTGTGCACACACAGGCATGTATGTGTAGAAGAGGGAAATATGAAATATACCAAAGCCTAAAAAGCAGTGAATGTTCACTGCAGTTGGGAATCAACGGGACTATCTCCTCCTTTGAAAACAGAAGGGCATCAGCAAGCTCTAGTCAGAGGGTAACATGTTTCCGGGCACCTCTCAGCTCAGTTCCTGGCCCCTCCAGTCTCCACAGGACACGGGACTGGATTGGCAGGTGTAAAGATTTGGAGGGAGCTGGGCCAGCTCTGTGTGCATGGCTCTTTTGCACCCCACCCCTCCTAAGACACAGGCTGCTGCTTTTTAAACGGAGAAGCATGACCGTCTCTGTCCCATCTGCCCACATGCATCACAACGGGACTCACATCTTAACGGAGTGCTCACCTTCTGTAGGGCCTGGGAGACAGCCACACCACAGCAACGGGGAAAACAAAGACATGAGTGAGGGTTAAAGTTTGGGAGCTTTGATTGCGCGGCAGGAACAGTGCCTGGGCCTGGGAGTCACAGGGAGGTTGGGTGCCCAGAAGTGCAATGAAAGGCGAGGTGGTTAGAACACTTGAAGGACATCAGGAAGAGGCTGCCTTTGATGCTGTCAAGGAGCTACAAAGAGAACGGCGTGATGAAAGTGGCTAAAGCACACAGAGAACAAGTCCTGCTCATAAAAGCTGTCTTCACCCGGAGAGCAACGCCTCTATGGAAAAAGGAATCACTTCGGTAAAAAGTAAGAGCACAGGGGTGTCAGCGCTTGATATCCAAGAAATGAAACGGTTGTCTTCACAAATTCACTCAGTTTGCCTCACCATATCCCTCTGAGGTAGGTAAGAGGCAGGCAACATTGGTCCCATTTTATGGATGGGGTAAAGTGAGGCCCCAGAATTTGCTACAGGCCACACCACAGATCCACACCAACAACCTCAGTGACATGGCAGTCTTGTGCCTTTTAGGTCTTCTCTATAAGACCCCTCACTTTGATTCAAACCAAGCCAGTAGGTATCTGGAGGAACATGGGCGTCTGTCTTATAATTTCAAACTTTGATACACTGGCAGGAAAGGAAAGCACATCCAAGATGATCAGCCAAAATCAGGGGATCTGGGGACCTGGAAATGGGGCAGCACACCCCAGTTAGTGTGTGGGTTTGCATTTTTTAATTTTAACTTTTATTTATTTTTTATTTTTATTTTTGCCAGAATGCAGTATTTTAGGGAGGGCTAGTTGAATTGATTGATAAGCCAACCAGGGTCCTGAATGTAACGGCCACATTACACTTCCCCAAAAGACAAGGTGTCTCTCTGTCCTGTTGCCAAGTCAGAGTGGGTGAGGAGAACGCTAGAGTGTTGTCAGAGGCCTGGGGTCACGGAAACTTCCCCAAGGCTGGGACGAGAATGGGGACAGTTGCATGTGTGTATCCTGTCCTGGTTAGGTCGCTTCCCTCTCCCCTGCAGGCTGCATTCTGCTTCCTTTCTTTGACCTCAGAATTTACGTCATTACTTAACACTACTGATCACGGAACCCAGCAGCCCTAGCATGGCTAACACCGACCTGATTATTTCTAACCTGACAGTGTGCAGCACCTCCAGCCCACCAGCAACCCTTGAACCAGAACCCAGCTGCATCTAGCTGTAGCACAAACTCTGACACCTTGAGCCCCAGCTCAGCGAATTTCAGCCAAGGCTAAGAATTTGGGAATTTTTCCAATTTCTATGGCTCACAAGGCAATGTGACAGATGGCTGCAAGCCCCCTAGGTTTGCCCGGAAAGCAGCCAAGCAGAGTGACTGGGTGCAATGAAGGGTACCTCTGCATTTTCCCATCGGGTCCCTATCAGCCCGTTATTTCCACCAGCTTGGCAGCTTGAGGGCGTGTTTCAAACAGAGCCTGGTGCACACAGTTTTGGGATCAAACCGAATGTCAGAGTGTCCCAGGCCTCAGGAAGCAGTGTTGGCTGGGAAGCCCAATGCCTGTACTGAAAAATGATCCTCAAACCAGTGACTGGGCCAATGCATTGCCCAGGAGACTCAAGTCGGTGAGAGTGGTGGGCAGTGCCTGTGTCCGGTGGCTGGGTGGATAGGGGTGGGTACCACCCCTGGCAGGCAAGCCCGAAGCCCAGCCCCCTCACAGAACCGACTCCTTGGATTCCAGTTCCGAGCTGCTGGCAGTAGGGCCAGCGGGGTTCTGGTGCGTCACCAGAGGTGACGTCTCCTCTTCTGACTTGCAGTTGGGGATGGCTTCCACTTTCACCTCACTCAGTACCTGCTCCCCTCTCTTCACCGCCTTCTGGTTCAGGTGGTGGAGAATGCCTGCACCCAGGGCATCTCCTTCCACGTTCACCACGGTGGTGGTACGGTCCCTGTGGGAAAAGAAAGGCAGGTGTTACAGCCCACACCACCTGGAACTACCCCGGGGCAGCCCCGTCACAGGAGCAGCCGAGGCCCTGAGGGGCCCTGCTGTTTCCTGGCGAGCTTGCTGCTATGGGCAGAAGGCCTCACTTTACTCTAAAGGCTTTCTTTTAATATTTTTTTCTTATGCGAGTAATAGATACTCATTGTAGAAAACTGGGGGTGGGGGAGGTAAGTGTAAGGAAGAGAAGAAGTCCCCCACCCACACTTCACAGCTCAGAGCGAATCAGTACTAACATTTGATCATTTCCCCCCAGTCCTCTTTCTGTGCGTGTACTTCAGGTGTAACAGACACCATCATCTGAATATCATGTCTAACGGGGACAGATGAGAGTATAGCTATGGTTTTGTGTCCAGCTGTTCTTCCTTCTCATGTCCACACTGAATCTCTACTGAATATCGATCTTCATGTCATTCCACAGCCATCGGCAACACCACTTCACAGAAAACAGCACTGTCCTTTCTTCTGGAAGCTTGTCTTCCCATAGATGAGCCCAATAACCACCTTCCTCCCTGGAGCTCAGAGGAGGTATTGTGCCCATTTTCAATGGAAAAAAAGAGTGAGCTTGCCTGAGGCCACCTCCCTGGAGTCGGAGGCCACAGAGATGGAAGGCTGGTGTGACTTCAGGTCTCTGCTGGGCAGCCCATCTGGTGCCCTTGTTCCCTATCTGGGCTGAGCACCCATTAAATGCCCGCCTTCCCCCAACAGACGAGCAAGGAGATAGACCTCTGACCCCTGACCCTCGCTCGACTTTGGTCCTGTCTAACTCACCAGCTCGGGAACTGGGTTCTCTCTGATGAGTTGTCTGGACAATGCAGGTCTCCTGCACGTTTCACTGTCATTGCTCTGAGGAGCCGTAAGGATTCTGAGAAGCCCCTTCAAGTTTCCAGGGCTAAGAGAAAGTGCTGGGAGCCACCCACCCTCCCCACCACTGCGCACAGCCCTGAGCCCGGTGCCGAGCTGCAGTGCGGAGGTCTCCTCACGCCGAGCTGTGGCGAGCCTGGAGAGCAGTATCTTTCTTCCCTGAGGCTCACTGAATGCTTTCCCAGGCACCTGGACCTCTTCCGTGTGCTGTGCATCTGCGAACCCAGTCTCCACCACGGCTCTGTTGCAGGTCCTATTATCGTTCCCATTTCACAGGTGAGCAGAGAAAACACAGCACCGTCCTATCTCATGACTAGTAAATGGCAAAGCTGGGACTTGAACCCAGGTCCCCGGGCTCTAGGGCTCATATTCTTATCCATATGCTCTACTGTCTAGCTGTAGTACCTCAGCTAACCTTCCCTATAAAACAGGTATTGTTCATACCTGGAAAAGGTGTTGTGTAACTCAAGGGATCAACACTCAGGCAGTGATTTGTGCCTGTACAGGAGCCCTGCCGAAAGCAGTCTGGATGACACCTCCTTCCCAGCACTTGCTCCCCTGAGCCCAAGCCAAGGCGTCCCCATTAGCTGGGTTCATCTTCTCTCCCCTCAGGTCAAGGGCTACCATCACTGAAGGGCTCACGGTGGCAATGGCTGTGATTCCCACGTAGCCAACAATTTGCAGATTTTTGTGACCCTTGAGCCTGGGTCACAAAATGAGTGATGCTCTAAGCAAGTTCTCAGTAATGACGTTTCATGACTGTTCATGAGCCTCCGACTGTCCTGTTGTTTAGATTTCCCAGCGCTAAATTCTGTCTTGTCAGCTCAGCTGCGGGCTCCTCCGCAAGGCGAGGAGCACGTCTGAGGTTTCCGCACCCGCCTCGGGCCCAGTGGCGCGAGCTCCTGGGGGCTCAACAGTTTGTTTTGTTCGATGCCCTTGGGACTCGCTACTTACACAATCCAGTCCACAGCCAGGATTAGAGAGAGGTCCTGAGTGGGCAGCCCGATGGCCTCCAGGATGATGGCAATAGTGAGGACCCCTCCAGCTGGCACACCTGCCGCTCCAACACTGGACGCTGTGGCCGTCACTCTAGGGGATGACACAGCAGGGTCAGCCATTAGCACAGAGCATGGGGGTGGGACACAGAGACATGCAGGACATGGCAGCCGTGGCTTGGAAACCGAAAACCACATGGCCCTAGGTTCTGCCAGATGAGTCGCTCTCTTCAGGTAACGAATCTGTGCTGTCCTCTTTCATACGAGACAGCCGAGTCCTGGGGAGACTGGCGATTATGAGGTTTTTCAAAGGAGATCTCAAGGGACACCTCACATTGTGACCCAACCCTGAAGAGGAAGGAGAGAGTAATGAGCTTACAGAATCGTGAAAATCTGTCCCGCTTTCAGCTCTATGTTGTTAAGCTGGGCGATGAACACGGCGGCCACACACTGGAAGATGGCTGCCCCGTCCATGTTCACGGTGGCCCCGATGGGGAGAATGAACCTGCTGATCCTCTTGTCCACGCCATTGTTTTCTTCAATGCACTTCATCATGGAGGGAAGGGTTGCTGAGCTGGGGAGAAACAACCAACCATGAAGACAGTCCTTTCAAGGGTAACATTACTCAGCTCACACCCCAGAACGCAACTATTAGCACCATCCTAGTTTCTGGATTTCTCGCCTTGAAATAAAAGAAAAATCAGAATTGTTTCAAAGTTTCTGTCACAACATGGGGTTTTGTCAACTCCCAAAGTATTCAAAATCTGACTCCCTTGATTTGCCTGTTACATTGTTTACTTGGATATACCTGTTCCAAATTTCTCAAGAGCCACACACACCTTGTGTGGTACAAAGTGTTCTCCAGAGAACAAAGAACCGCTGACTCCGTACGTGTATCTCTCCTCTTGAATTTCCCCCTATGAAGCATAAGGCAAACTGTGATCTTCCCCCTTTTAGGTCAAGATGCAGAAATGGCTCTGAGAATTTGGAAAGAGTAACTGTGTTCGTAGACAACTGAATAAAGGAGACTTTTTCTTCCCAGTTGCCTCTTCGGGCTGCGCTTGCAGTTGAGAAGCAGGTTTGTTTCTGTCTATGCCAAAGAAACTGGCCCTCCCAGTTCTTTTCACCACCTTGTCGTATGAATAGTCCTTCAGGGTGTGAGGAACCATGCAGGAGAGACAAAATCTAAACGTGAGAATGAAACTGTGCTGCCATCCTTTGAGAGCTCTCTCTAATGTATCTGGAAAGTCCATTTTGGGGGGAAAGATTTCCAGGAACGACTAGGTGCACCTTTTGTGCTAAATTAAGCAATCCTCGAGAACTGAACATCTACTCTTCATCATGATGCCTTGGTCTTGTTTTCTAATTCATGTATCAAGAGGGAGCTCTGAATAGGTATCCTTCTAGAAACTTCCCTACAATGCATTTTGAGTTAAGTGGCTGCCTTCTTTTACTCAGGCAAAAGTCTAATTAGTTAGGGTGAGGACCCACAGTTCCTATGGGCTAAACTATGATCAGGTTGACCACCAAGGAGCCAGAAGAAGGAGAGGAGGCAAGCCCTCATTCTGACAATCCCAGCTCTGTCAGAGTTGTGGGGCTGGTAATACAAAAACTAAGGTAAGACTAATTTAGAGTTTTCAAAGAATTAGATTAGGATTCCAGTTGTGCATCTACCATTGGGCTCACCTGGGTTCATGTCAACATTGCTCAGAGCCGTCAAGGGCGCCCGAAACCCACTCACCTGGAACAGGTGGCAAATGCTGTCGCAAATGGTGTGAGGAGGCCCAGGAGGAACATGAATGGGTTTTTTCGTGTGAAAACAAAATAAATAAGTGGTAGAACGACTGCTCCGTGGATAAAATGGCCCAATATCGATGTTAAGATATATTTCCCAAGGCTGGTCACTAGCACGACGATGTCCTTCATTTCCACAATCTTGCTTCCAACCAGGAACATGATGCCCACAGGCACATACCTAGGGCATGAGCACAGGGCCCTTGTCAGTAAGGGTGATGTGATGGAGGGGCTGGGAGATGCTGGCCCTTCCTGACCCAACACAGAGACTCTCCACTAGGCAGTCTTCCTTTCCCCCTAGAATGACCCTAAGGAATGGAAAGGGATGGGTCCATTCCACAGGCTATGAAACTGAGTAAAATTCACAGGATACATCACTATGGGTAATGGAGTCAGGATCAGAACCCAGACTTCTTTCACCTTGGATATACTATCCCCTTGGATATTACTAACCTCCACCTCCTTAAGAGATGGAGGTTAGTAACCACAGGGGCTCCCGTGTGGAAGGCAAAGAACGTTCCAGATCAAAGCCTCTGGGAATGCACTTTGTTCTGAGAACTTAGAAACACAAAAGACTAACACCTATTTCACAGAACTGAGACAAAGCTGGGACTTTGCAAGGTTTTAACTTCTTTGCAATTTGGAAAACATGATTCCGTGGGAAAAAGCCACTAACAATGACCCTCTGGGGACATTCCTGGAGTGTGAAAGTTTTTTTTTACTGGCAGGATGAGAAGAAGGAAGGGAAGGAGTACACTAGGGGAGCCACAGAACAAAAGTCAGTTGTTTTGAATCTAATATATATTGAGGAAGAATTTTTAACCATTGACTTTCGGGGTAAATTTTAATTACATAGATACTGATGCCATATGGTTCAAATTTCACCCAGTATTTACGCAGGGTGAGTAACGGAACGTCTCCCTCCAGCCTCTGTTCCCCAAGCCCAACCAGTCTCCTTCCCCGGAGAAAGCCAATGTCACTGCCTTCTCAAGTTTCCTTACCAGTGTTATTAATTTTAAATTCCACAGTAACACATGAATGTACTCTCTTTTCACAAAATTAAAACTACTGATTAGGCCAAAATACTCTTTTGAAGTACCACCCTCAAGCCAGACCCCCTCCTCAGATAACCATTCCTATTTTCTATACATTTATTCATCTTTTAAATTGATTACAGAGAGAGAGAGAGAGAGACTTGTTCCATGTATTTACGGATTCGTTGGTTCTTTTTTTTTAAAGTTTTTTTTAGAAAGACGGGAAGGGAGGGAGAAAGAGAGGGAGGGAAACACTGATCAGTTTCCTCTTGCACATCCCCAACAGGGACCTGGCCCGCAACCCAGGCATGTGCCCTGACTGAGGGTCAAACCTGCAACCTTGGTGTATCAGGATGATATTCTAACCACCTGAGCCACGGGGTCAGGGCACACTTTCTATGCATTAGATGCATAGGTATGTATTTAAATTTGTATTTGTATTTTTAACACCACATTACGTCTTTTGAGATCTGTTCATACAAATACATAGACATCTACATCTGTATGTTCTTTATCATGGTAAAATGTGAATAACATAAAATTGACCATTTTAATCACTTGAAGTGCACGTTTTAGTGGCATTAAGTACTTTCATCCTGTTGTGCAACTGTCACCACTGCCCATCTCCAGAACTCTTTTCTCACCCCAGCCTGAGACTCTGTGCTCATCAAACCCTGACCCCCACACCCCTCCCCCTGTCTGGTGACCACTGTTCTACTTTCCATCTCTGTGAATTTGACCGTTACAGGTGCTGCTTATAAATGGAATCGTACAATAATATTTGCACTTTTGCGTCTGACTTATTTCACTTAGCATGTCTTTAAGGTCCATGCATGTTGTAGCATGTGCTAGAATTTCATTCCTTCTTACAGATGAATAATATTCCATTGTATGTATATACTACATTCTGTTCATCTAATTGTCAATGGACATTTGGCTATTGCTACTTTTACTTTATTATTTTCAAATATTATCCTCAGAACCCAAATACTATAGATGACTTTGCTGTTGCTTAGCTGACGGATGTTTAAATTGCTCCCAGATTTCCATCATGAAAAACAACACTGTGGACAGGCCTCTTTGTGCTCCAGGCGGAGACACCAAAAAGTGGAAGTGCCGAGTTATGAGGTGTGCATGTTTTACGTTTCAGCAGATATTAACAAATGGCTCTCCAAAGTGGCTGGGCCAGTTCACATTCCCACCAGCTGTCCGGGAGAATAATCCTTTCCCTGCACCACTGGTTCCCGTCCAAGCATGATTTTGCCCCTCGGGATGTGCAGCAGTCCGGAGGTAGCTTTGGTTGTCACAGCTTTGGGGTGGGGGTGCTCCTGGCATCTAGTGAATTAGAGGCCAGGGACAGCACTAAATATTCCACCGTGCACGAGGCAGCTCCCCACAGCAAAGAATGATCCAGCCCACAATCAGCAGTGCTGCTGTTGAGAAACGCTGTCCTCACTCTCACCAATGCCTGACGAAACCACACATTTCATGTCCCTGAATAACCTGGCTATTCAGGTTTCCTCTTCTATCAATTGCTTGCTCACATACCTTTTCTATTTTCTAATAGTTCACTAAGTCTTTCTTCTTTTTCAGTAATCAGAAGTCTTTATTAGTGTTTCTCAAACTACCTTTGGTAAAAGACTGGTTAATTTCTATCCAGGTAGGTGGTGAACCAATATTCTTATAAAAGACAATAAAAATAAAATATTAGAAAAATGATCATGTGTTTGAGTGTTGCAGCAATATAAACTCATTATAAAAGTTTCTAAATACTTATGCTTAATTTCCCTATAAATCTAATTGCAGATAGAAAAACAATTTGTGAGCTGGTCCTAGTCCTTCGGATACTAGTGCTTTGAGACAGTGTATACGGCATATATGCATACATACTATATGCAAATGCATACCATTCTTTTCCAACAAGTGCTTTGTCTTTCAACTATGTTCAAGGTATCTTTGCATGTAAATGTCTTATATTTTGATGTAATCAAATTTAGCAGCTTCCTATGGCTTTTAATTTTTGTATTTTGTTTATCCCAACATTTTCCTACTCCAACATTTTCTTCTAATACTTTTAGAGGACTTCTTCCTTCTTTCTGCTTCCTCCCTAGAGAGTTTAATGCATGGGCTGGCACTACGAGTTTTATTGAAAGCCAGACTCGTTCAGTTACAAATTGTCTATGGCTGCTTCTGTCCCACAATGGCAGAGTTAAGTAGTTGATGGAGAGATCGTATAGTCTGCAAAGTTTGCTGACCCTGTATTTAATCCACTGAGAAGTTACTTCTGTGAACAGTGCAGGTGAGGCAGGTGCTTTGATATTGGAGTAGGCAGTAGTGAAGGACAAAAGCCAAAAAAGCTGCTGCTGGAGACCCCTCCCCACCTGGCTGAGATCCTTTAACTAGTTAAGACATTTGAAACTCCAGTTCTGTATGCACCTTCTGGGCCAAAGATCTCCCATTGCAGTTAGACACTCAGCAGGAGATTTTGTTTATTTATTTTTTAAAGTCCTCACCTGAAGATATGTTTATTGATTTCAGAGAGAGAAGAATGGGGAGGGGCAAGAGAGAGGAGCACTGATGTGAGAAACATGGATAGGCCGCCTCCCCCCACACGCCCTGACCAGGGGTTGAACTCGCCACCTTTTGGTGTCAAGGGTGATGCTCCAACCAACTGAGCCACGTGGTCAGGACTCAGCAGGGAATCTTAGACAACAACAACAACAACAACAAACAAACCCAGGAAAAGGACCTGAACTGTGATGAAAACACTTTTTCCTTCTGTAATTATATTCTCTCCCAAGAACAAGAGTCATGTGAATGGAGTTTCATGTTTCCTTTTAAAAATCAATCCAATGATTTTTAAAAGATTTATTTATTTATTTATCTTTAGAGGGAAGGGAAGGAGGGAGGGAGAGAAATATCAATGCACAGTGGCCTCTCATGTGTCCCCTGCTGGAAACTGGCCTGCAACCCAGGCATGTGCCCTGACTGGGAATCAAACCGCAATCCTTTGGTTTGCAGGCCTGTGCTTAATCCACTGAGCTACACTAGCCAGGCTCAATCCAATAATTTTTAATTAAACAATTACACTTTCACTGCTATTACAGAAACATTAATGTAAAAAAGACAATTCCAAATTTTTATATGCACAGGGCAAGGATGGATCTGTCTTCCATGTTGTGAAATATGATGGGAAGGGGCCCTTTGAAGCTCAAAGTCTATCGTTTTAAGATAAATAAGCCTTATTTTACACAGCAGAGAGCAAACATGGGATTTGCTCCACAAGACAATATGGGCATTGCATATAAAATGGGGTGATGGTGGGAACCCACATATAGATCTCTGATGACAGAACCAGAGCAGTCACCACGGGTGCAGAGGAAATAACTGGTAACTGTGGTACACACCTGAGGTCCCGGACAAGAGGAGAAACTGCCACCACCTCTGTCACACCCTGTACCAGGACCGACCCAGGTCGCATCAACCACAATACAGAGCCCTGGGTTAGGTGGTGACGCGGGGGTGACCTAGAACAGCAGAGTGGGACTCTTTTCTGGACAGCAGGAGAAACAGGAGGGGGAGTAGGAGACAGGAGGGGGGTGGGCACCACTTACCACATGATCCACGACACCAGCACCATTGTCGCCTCGTTGAAGGCATTGAAGAAACGGATAAGCTCTTCTCCTTCAGGGCCAAGTTTCTTTAAGGCCACTCCTAACACCAGGGCGAAAAGGACCAGTCCTAAAATGTTCATCCCTTCAATCTCGGTGCCAACGGGGACCTGCAGGATCAGAGTAAACGTGGGGTCCGAGTTTACAACGGATGGATGAGACCCAGAGGCCCATTTGCCTTGTGTCTCCAATGGACTGAAACACTATGCCCAGGTGGAGAAAAGGCTATTTTCTTTAACCTCTAGTGATTTCACAAATCAATGGGTAGGAAAGTCAAGGGAGGATGGATTCTAACGATACAGAAAGTCAACAAGAATTTCACCTAGGTGTCAACTCTGAAAGCTGCTTAGAATTGGTATAGGTTGAAGCAGAAAGCAGTGAGCTCTGTGCTACTGGATATTCAAACAGAGGTTTGGACTATGACTTCAAATGCTGCTTTTAAAAGGAGAGCTGGTTCGTGAAAAGTTCCTCCAGATCAAGAGTCAATGATTTACCTCCTAAATGTCAACAGTTGCTCGATTGCTAGGCTGTTACTATGGCCACCTAGCTGACAAATTTCCCAAGAGATGTTTCAGGATTGGCAGGGGTATTTTCAGGGTATTTGTTCCTAAATCACTAACTTTAAATGTATAGATAAAATGTATTCTTTATTTTTTCCAGAAACGTTGAATCTCACCACTGAAAGCATATATTAGGCAGTCACTTAATTCCATCAAAACACAGTATGAAAGTTTGAACATGAAATGTACGTCAGCAGGGTAAAAACCAGAAAGAGCATTTTTGCCATAGTTCTAGTCCCAGCTCTGATATTAAATAACTTATCTGGGCTTCAGGTTCTTCATATGCAAGATGAAGTGAATTGGACTAAATTAGCAGCCTTTTTCTTTTTAAGTAGAACTTTCCCTTCAATCAAAGAAAGGCTGGTAGCACTCAGTGCCCCTCCCCTGGGGAGGTATATGTGTGGGGGCAGGAGAAGAGCAAAATAACTCCTTTTGCCCATGACATTCTGTGGCCAGGCTGAATAGTCCCTCGTCCCTTCCTGCTCTCTTGACCTGGGCCAGTGTCTGGCAAACAATTGGCACTCAAAAAAAATATGTGTGAATGAACAATGGCTAGAGTAAGTTAAGCCCCTAAAACAATTTCTATGTGCTTGTTAAATCACCTGTTAATTATATATTAGGCTAGCAGAAGGGGTGTTATAAAACATTTTTGAAGAGGACATTAGTTCCAATTCAATGATACAGATTCCAAAGCTACAGACACCGGCCGTGGCCATGTTGGTGAATAACCGAAGGAGCAAACCCAACTCGTGTACTTTGAATCGTCCACCCAAAGCCCAAAGTTTTCAGCCCTGCTGAGAAAAAGCTGTGCTGTGTATGCTCCTTCAATTAAGAAGCATTATTTGCTTTGTAAGTATTTGTCACTAGCGATTTCACAAAGAGCTTTACCTTTTCAATGGTTTTGTTTCCAGTGTTGTTGCCGTTGGTCACCTCTTTATAATTCGTTGCATACTGCGAGTGAGAGAAAGAAAAACCCACTGTCAGTTCACAGGGGAAGCGGGACCGGAGGAACAGGAGGCCCGCCGGGCCTTTTGCTATTCTGGCATATTCACTCCGAGTGCTGAGGGCACTGCTCAATTGCTTGGCCTGACCAGAGTCTCTGAAAACTATGCAAAAGCAACTTAAGACCAAGGCAGCATGTGCTTTAAGAGGCCTCTGGGTTATTTAGGGACCCCAGGACGGAGGGATAACTTCATGTCCCTTGGACAATGGTTTGTTGGTCTGTCCAATTTCATGCTGGTAGTTTGATATTTCAAACAGCTGACTGTTCATATTATTTGGAGAACCTTGGTAGTAATTCCTTAATGCCCAAGTCCACTTTTCAATTCGTCATTTTATTTTGATCCAATTTATTTATGCTCCACTTCGTTCCAGAGCTTGTATGAGTGTGACCACTTTTTTTTTAAGATTTTATTTATCTTTAGAGGGGAAGGGAAGGAGAGAGGGAGAGAAACATCAATGTATGGTTGCCTTTTGTGCGTCCCCTGCTGGGAAGTGGCCTGCAGGGAACCGGCGTGCAACCCAGGCATGTGCCCTGACTGGGAATCGAACCGCGATTGTCTGGTTCACAGGCCCGTGCTCAATCCACTGAGCTACACCAGCCAGGGCGAGTGTGACCACTTTTTAGACTCGGTTTCTAAATGTCCCGAGCTTCCACCCTCCAAGCAAAGGATGTCAGGCAAGATGGAGTTTCCTGGCTGAATCTTGTGGGAGACCCACCTCTCAGACGTAAAACACCTCTCCAGCCTCAGCCCTACAGTTGACTTCACACACTTCTGCACAATGCATGAAGGTGTCTCTCCCTGGGGCTGCATGTACTGCCAAGGGCAACCTGTTTTGAAATGCCCTTCCTGACCTTTTCCATGGACACCTGGATTCTGAACCATCAAGTGCAGCCCGTTAGGAGGTGCAGACACAGAGGCCTGCTTTGTGCGAGCCTGTGAAGAGCGCTGGTCTCCCTCAGCTCTGATTTACTGAGCTTTTAGACAGGGAGAGCTGTTTAGTGGCCCTGTGATCAAGGGAAAATGAAACCCACTTCACAGGTGACAGGCACTGAAACCCCATAAACCTGTTCTTTTCTTTAATTTTTTTCTTTATTGATTGATTTTAGAGAGAGGGGGGAGGAAAGGAAGGAGAGATACACACACATACACACACAAAGGGAGAGGGAGATATTAATTTGCTGTTCCACATACATATGCATTCATTGGTTGGTTCTTGTGTGTGCCCTGATTGGGGATTGAACACATAACCTTGGCATATAGGGACCATGCTCTAACCAACTGAGCTATCTGGCCAGGACTTTTAAAAAATTTTTATTTATTGATTGGAGAAGGAGAGAGAAATCTTTTCTTTTTCTCCTACCTCATGTTATATATACAAGCCACAGCTGTGCTTATATGTAAATGTTATTTTTTGAGAAGAGAAAGGCTGTAAGTAGAAACAGAAAAGTCTTTGCTTAAAAAGAACCATCAGATTAGTCAATCTCATCTAGACCTTTATATTTCTTCTCTGTGTAAAGCACAGCCATGGGTTACTGGCACTGTTGCTAAAATTAGGGAAAAACTAGAAACAACCTGAAAGCCCATCCATAACAGACCGGTGGGTGAAGTTAGGATACACTCCTACAGTGGAACACAGGCAACAACGCTGTGCAGAGGATATTTCCTAACATGAGAAAATCTTCGCAATATGCTGCTTAAAAAAAGAGTTTGCAAAAGCTATGTGAAGTATGTGCTCATACTAACAATATGTGTAGTATGATTTTTTAAAAAATTGTTATTGTTGTTCAATTACAGGTGTCCCCATTTTCCCCCCATTACTCTCCCCTGCCCTACCTGCCCCCACCTCCCACATTAAATGATTTAATGATTTTTTAAAACATGTGGGCTGCAGAGAAAAAATGGATCTGATGGGCGTATACCAAAATGTTCACAGGTAGCTGTAGGTGGTGGACAAGGGTGATCTTTATTTTATTTTATTCTACTTTTTTGTACTTCATTAAAAATTTTTTGCAATGAGCATATATTACTTTTATAGTCAGATAAATAGATAAATTTGTAATTTAAAATATTCTAAAATACTTAGAAACCCCAAATACTTAAGAGAACCCCAAAATGTGATTTGAGGGTATTTCTCGGGTGATGTGAAAAAGATGTTGGAGCCACTAAGATATTTTAGAAAAACATTGATTTTTTTGTTTGTTTTATTCCAGAGGCCCATCTATAAAACTTAGCCCGATGTTACCAGGTTTTGTTGACAAGACTACCTCTCCCTGTTCCACCTCATCTAACTCTACAGCAGGAATTTATACACCCCCCACTCCCATCAAAATTTCACATTTTTAGCAAAGCATCAAGCCTTACCGTTCGAAAAGCTGCAACCACAAGATTTGAGGGGAACAAGTTTCTGTTGGAAAAGGAAACATCTCATCAGTATTCTGAAAATTCAGCATTCAAAGTATCCACTTTAAGATGTCCATTCTGACACCCTAGCCTGATGGCACTCCTCTGTCCACCTCCAGCAATCACTGTGGTCTTCTGCTTGTCCAAACACCCAACTATGCCTTGGCTCCTGTGGCACAGAAGATACCTGAGTGCACCAGTTTTCATCTCCTCCCTCTCCTGGTACTCCCTGATATTTGGGGCTTAACCTGTGTTCAACCAAACCAGAATAACTGCATTACTTTCCTTTCCCCAAGAGGTTAAGCCCTATTCCTGTGGTTTCCAGTGGGGAGTGGTGCTGCCCCCTAGTGGAATCCATGGGAGTGTTTTCATTGAGGCAATAATTGGGGTGGAGTGGGCATGCCTGGAACTGGGGGAGTTGTGTGTAGGCGAAATTGCCAGGTCCAAGCCATTCATTCTGCTAAGAGTTAAGCCAAGTCCCGTCAATAAATGGTCTCAAGGCCCTCATGTGTTTTGATATCCTATATGACATACCTGCAGATGAACCTTATAATTCCCCAAGCCTAAACTAACCTCCAAACAAGGTAGTTTTTGCATAATTTGAACATACAGTTAGTTATACCTTGGTACTCGTAGGCTCCAGAACATGTCAAACCCTGTACTCATTGCATTTGGGTGAGGAAACAAATGTTTCAGCACTCAGCGCTTGCTCGGGACTCACCACACTTGCTAGAACTTGTATGAGTCATGATGCCACCCTGCTAGAGAAAATGCTTCGTTTGGTACTCATTGGTTCTGGTGCTGGCCATGAGTTCCAGAAAGCATTAACAAGTTCCGAGGTACCACTGTATACAGAGTTTTCTAGGACTGTAACTACTGTGTCAAATAGGGGTAATTACTTTTTGTTTTGTTCAGAATATTTCCAAGAATTGTTCATCTTTCTGGAAAAAATCACATCACCCATAGAAAATTGTAGGATTTGAGTCCTTAATTGCACATGTTATTAAGTACCAGTCTGTATTTAGAGCTGTGTCATTAATGTCTAAATTCAGAAGCAAGCACCTAACCATTTGTTTTACAGCATATACCTATTAAAACACTTAAAAAAAGATTTTATTTAGTTAGTTTTTAGAGAGAGAGGAAGGGAGGGAGAAAGAGAAGGAGAGAAACATCAATGTGTGGTTGCCTCTCACATGCCCCCTACTGGGGGCCTGGCCCACAACCCAGGCATATGCTGTGACTGGGAATTGAACCAGTGACCTATTTGTTCACAGGCCTGCACTCAATCCACTGAGCCATACCAGCCAGGGCTAAAACACATTATTTTTATAAATTACTCTTTTGTCTTTTATATTACAGTTAAGTCATGTTAATGTTTTGAAATTATGTACCTAGGTAAATCCTATTTATGAATATTATTTCATGTTAAAAAGCAGGGCAGTAGTGCTGATCAAGTTAAGCTATATTTTAAAACCAAAGTCTATTCATGGAAATAGTTTTTACTGAGGGTCTCTTTTTGGTCAGGCTCTGTGCTGGGTTCTGGTCTTAAAATACGAGAAGATCCCACCAACACTCCGTTTATTCTCCCCACTTCCTATAAGAATGAGTCTAGAAGAGTAAACAGCTATGGACCATCCTTTGCAATTTGTGCCAAGTGTGTGCACTAATTCTTACTCCTGTGGCTGGTTTGTTTACCTAATGCTAGAATCTCCAGGCAACTATTTGCATTAGGTTTGATTTCAGAGGGAGGCAGGTCTGACTGTAACCCACCTTAGCAGCAGATTCTAAGATGTCCTGTTGGAAGCCACACCCGTGTGTAATACCCCCCCCCCTTGAGTATGGTGGGGCCTATGACTTGCTTAATTTAGCCAAAAGAATCACGCTAAGGGCCCTGACTAGTGTGGCTCAGTTGGAGTGGCATCCTGGAACCTAAAGGTGGCAGGTTCGATTCCTGGTCAGGGCCCATAACTAGGTTGCAGGTTGGATCCTCTCTCTAAAAGCAATGAAAAAAATGTCCTTCAGTGAGCATAGGGGAAAAAAGAAGAACAGAGCAAAGGTAGTGGGATATCACTTGCTTACATCTTATAAGAAGACTCTCTTTACTGCCTCTGGGCTTGCACGTTTGATGGAACAAGCTGCTACGCTGGGCAGGCCCTTGTGGCGAGAGACAGGGCCAACAGCCAACTAGGAACTGAGGTGCCAGTCTAAACTTCAAGGACCTGAATTCTGCCAACAACCGCGTGACCTCAGAAGTGAATCCATCCCCGCTGAGCTTTTGGAGGAGACACCAGCTGTGACTGACACCTTGACAGCAGCTTTGTGAGAGATTCTGAAGCAGAAGACTCAGCTAAGCAATACTGAGATTCACGATCCTATGTGAAATAATTAATGTGTGTGATTTGAAGCTGCTAGTTTTGGTAACTCATTAAATTTGTGCATTAGATAACTAATATACTAGCCAACAAGGTTAAAGAGATGAAAAACAACTTTATTGCACTCTGGGTGCATCTGCAAGACAGCCAGCAAGCAGAGACTGCGGCACGGCATTTTCCAAACCTACTCTGTCTATGAAACCAGGTGGCTTCGAACACGTTTAGAGAATACCAGCTAGTACACACCTGCATTTAAGCAGACAAAATGCGATCTTCAGTTGAATTAACCATTACAAAATGGTGATCAGAAACATGAGTCCTATTACAAGCATATTTACTTTAAAGAAAAGGTAGTAAAAGACTAGGCATGTGTATTGACTGTTCCTTAGTGTGTAGATGAACAGCAACTTCCGTTTGCCTATCATTTCCATTACAAAGCACCTTTCTTACCTATGTCAACCTTGTGACATAGGTTTGGTATCTCATTTCCATTTGCTATACTATTTAGAAGCAGAAACAGGTTCTGAGCCAAGATTTCCCTGTTCTACATGCACTGGATGACAACTCTCAACAGTCCAGGACTGAGCTGGGTTCTCTTCCTAAGAGGGCAGGGAAGTTAAGGAAGGAGTTGGGTTAAAGGTCCTCCATCTTCCCCATGAGGGACGACTTCCCTTGGAAGTACCTTGCATCCTTTAGGGATCGGCAGATTCCTCAGCTGGCACAACCACCGCCTTTCCCACAACCCTGAAAATGCACTATCTTCCAAAGAGCACACACAGTTTGTTTAAACCCTGCTGCTGGCCTGCCTGTTCTCTTTAGCGTAAGCTATAACCCAATACTGTCTCACCCAGAATGGACCCTGACCCTATCCCAGAACTTCTAGACCAAACAGCCATGGCCACACCAACCTGTTTCCAGACAGTCTACAGTATCTAGTCTACAAAATCCAGTGGGAACAGAGGTACAGACAATACTAGAGGCAAAACAACAACTCCTGCCAAAAATACCAGCTTCCTAAGAAAAAACGATGTGTTCTGGCAGTTACTTATAAAGCTAAACATACTCTTACCATATGACCCAGCAATTCCATTCCTGGATATTTACCCAAGAGAAATGAAAATATATGTCTGCAAAAAAGACCTGTATGTTTAACAGTCTTATTCAAAGTAGCCCCAAACTCAAATGTCCATAAACAGATTAAGGGACACATTATGATGAATCCTCACAATGGAATCCTCCCAGGCACTAAAAAGAACTCAGCTACTGATATATGCAACCCGGATAATCTCACCAACATTGTGCTGAGCAAAAGAAGCCAGACAAAAGAAAAGTACATGCTGAATGATTCCATTAACATGAAACTCTAGTAAAAGCAAAACTAATCTGTAGTGACAGAAAGCAAAACTTTCTATCCAGAACTTCCTGGGGCTAGGGGTGGAGAGCAGGGAATGCTGGGAAGGGTCACAGGTGACAGGACTGTTCGGCGTCTGGATAGTGTTAATGGTTAAATGAGCTCTCTACGTGTCAAAACTCACTGGCCTTTATACCTAAATGGGTGCATTCCACTGTATGTAAATCATACGCCAAAATGCTTAAAAGGTTTAAAAAATTCAGTGCGAACTGCAAAGGAAAAAAAACACTCAGTAGGATGACTGAACTTTCTTTAGGTTATATAGCTTAGCTCTCTGATAGTATTCCCTGGAAAGGGATTGCCTGGGGGCTGTGAGTTGAAGCTCGTGCACCCACAAATTCATATTCCTTTCCCTTGGTCCCTCCGGTTGCCACAGACCTCCCATCCATAATTAGGGGCAAGGAACTGAGGCTGTGGAAGTAAAGCAAAATGTCCGAGAGACTGTCTTTGGTATTGTATCTAAAAAGTCATCGCCGTTCCTGAATTCACCTAGGTTTTCTCCTACGCTATCTTCTAGTTTCATAGTTTCACCTTTTACATTTAGGTCTGTGATCCATTTTGAGTTCATTTTTGTGAAGGGTACAAGGCCTGTGTCCAGATTCATTTTTTTTTTGCACAAGGACGTCCAGCTGCCCTGGCACCATTTGTTGAGAAGATTATCTTTTTGCAATTGTATTGCCTTTACTCCCTGTCAAAGATCAGTAGACTATATTTATGAGAGTATGTCTTTGGCTCTCTATTCTGTTCCATTGATCTATATGCCTGTTGCTTTGCCAATACCACACTGTCTTGATTACAGTAGCTTTATCATGTGTTATATTCAGGCAGTGTCAGTCCTACAACTTTGTCCTCTCTGCACTCTTCTTAGACCTCTCTCCTTTCAAACACAGATGCTGCTGTGAAATCTGGGTTCTTATTACTCCTGAGCAATCAGGGATCAGCTGCCTATAACATAAGTTTTGCTCCCCAGAACTCTGACTTCAGGCATTTTCCCCCAACTCCTCACTTTCACACATTATCTTTGTGGGTTTTCAAAATAAAGAAACATTTCAGCTGCAAGGGATCTTAGTGGTGACCAAGTTCAACCCCCTCATTTAGCACATGGTGTCCCCAAGGCCCTGAGACATTAAATTGATACATCTGGCATTCACGTGATGGTTGGACCAACACCGTGAGAGAGAGCTTTCTATATTTGTGCTGTCTCATATGGTAGTCATATGG